AGACACTCAAGATGTAAGATTCTGTAGCCATTTGTACAAGACATTCAAGATGTAAGATTCTGTAGCCATTTGTACAAGACATTCAAGATGCAAGAATATGTAGCCATATGTACAAGACATTCAAGATGTAAGATTCTGTAGCCATATGTACAAGACACTCAAGATGTAGGATTCTGTAGCCATATGTACAAGACATTCAAGATGTAGGATTCTGTAGCCATATGTACAAGACACTCAAGATGTAAGATTCTGTAGCCATTTGTACAAGACATTCAAGATGTAAGATTCTGTAGCCATTTGTACAAGACATTCAAGATGTATGATTCTGTTGCCATATGTACAAGACATTCAAGATGTATGATTCTGTTGCCATATGTACAAGACACTCAAGATGTAAGATTATGTAGCCATATGTACAAGACACTCAAGATGTAAGATTATGTAGCCATTTGTACAAGACATTCAAGATGTAAGATTATATAGCCATATGTACAAGACACTCAAGATGTATGATTATATAGCCATATGTACAAGACACTCAAGATGTAAGATTCTGTAGCCATATGTACAAGACATTCAAGATGTAAGATTCTGTGGCCATTTGTACAAGACATTCAGGATGTAAGATTATGTAGCCATATGTACAAGACATTCTAGAAGTAAGATTATGTAGCCATATGTACAAGACACTAAAGATGTAAGATTATGTAGCCATATGTACAAGACACTAAAGATTCTGTAGCCATTTGTACAAGACACTCAAGATGTAAGATTATGTAGCCATATGTACAAGACACTGAAGATTATGTAGCCATATGTACAAGACACTAAAGATTCTGTAGCCATTTGTACAAGACACTAAAGATGTAAGATTATGTAGCCATATGTACAAGACACTGAAGATTATGTAGCCATTTGTACAAGACACTAAAGATGTAAGATTATGTAGCCATATGTACAAGACACTAAAGATTCTGTAGCCATTTGTACAAGACACTAAAGATGTAAGATTATGTAGCCATATGTACAAGACACTTAAGATTCTGTAGCCATTTGTACAAGACACTCAAGATGTAAGATTCTGTTGCCATATGTACAAGACACTCAAGATGTATGATTCTGTTGCCATATGTACAAGACATTCAAGATGCAAGATTATATAGCCATATGTACAAGACATTCTAGATGTAAGATTCTGTAGCCATATGTACAAGATACTCAAGATGTAAGATTCTGTAGTCATATGTACAAGACATTCAAGATTCTGGAGCCATATGTACAAGACACTCAAGATGTAAGATTATGTAGCCATATGTACAAGACACTAAAGATTCTGGAGCCATATGTATAAGCCATTCAAGATGTAAGATTCTGTAGCCATATGTACAAGCCATTCAAGATGTAAGATTATGTAGCCATATGTACAAGACACTAAAGATTCTGGAGCCATATGTACAAGCCATTCAAGATGTAAGATTCTGTAGCCATATGTACAAGACATTCAAGATGTAAGATTATATAGCCATATGTACAAGACATTCAAGATGTAAGATTCTGTAGCCATATGTACAAGACATTCAAGATGTAAGATTCTGTAGCCATATGTACAAGACACTCAAGATGTAAGATTCTGTAGCCATATATACAAGACATTCAAGATGTAAGATTCTGTAGCCATATGTACAAGACACTCAAGATGTAAGGTTCTGTAGCCATATGTACAAGACATTCAAGATGTAAGATTCTGTAGCCATATGTACAAGACACTAAAGATTCTGTAGCCATATGTACAAGACACTCAAGATGTTAGATTCTGTAGCCATATGTACAAGACATTCAAGATGTAAGATTCTGTAGCCATATGTACAAGACACTCAAGATGTAAGATTCTGTAGCCATATGTACAAGCCATTCAAGATGTAAGATTCTGTAGCCATATGTACAAGCCATTCAAGATAAGATGTAAGATTCTGTAGCCATATGTACAAGCCATTAAGGATGTAAGATTATGTAGCCATATGTACAAGACATTAAGGATGTAAGATTCTGTTGCCATGTGTACAAGACACTCAAGAAGTAAGATTCTGTTGCCATGTGTACAAGACACTCAAGAAGTAAGATTCTGTTGCCATGTGTACAAGACACTCAAGAAGTAAGATTATGTTGCCATGTGTACAAGACACTCAAGATGTAAGATTTAGAACTTTGCCCATGTTGACTAGCACCACAAAATACTGAACACGTGCTCCACACATACAAGCAACATAGAGATCCCAGATTTGTTTGGTTGACATTCCAATGTAAACCAAGGTGTTTGGAACAGTGTGAGATATGTAGCACCAGACTTCATACAGGTCTCTGGCCTTCTCTGAAAACAAGTTTTCAGAAGAAGAAAAAAGGAAATCAGCTGAGAATATGACGTGAGGTAGTCACAATAGCAAAAGGTATTATGACCTGTTTGAGGAGATATGCTTGAGGAGAAATAAAGACAGAAATTCTCCTTTCGCCGACACAATAATCAGTTCTCTCTATTTCCAAACACAAGAACTAGATTGCCGTCACATCCAGCGACAACATATTGTGGCAAGTCCTGGTTGTCTGTCCACTTCTGGACTTGTCTTTTCTTCCAGAATTTCCCTTCTGCGTGCACATCCACTTTACAGACAAGACTTATCTGTAGATTTCATTTGGGCTCCTCGTTCTCAGGTGGCTTCAAATGAAAAACCTTAAATTAGCCACCTCCTATGGCGTGTAAGTGGGTTCAAGGTCAGCATGGGCATACACAGCGCAAAGAATAAGAAAAAAATACAGGAGGACAGCAGCTCTTACCAAACATCCACGCCAGTCGTGACTATGGAAACAGCTGCTGCTTCTAGAGCATTAGCATGAGTATCCGAGCAAACCGCCACACAGGCAGTAATTAAATCAGACTAAATATGCTTTAGAAGCTAGCAACAGGCGGTATGCACTCTGAATAGGTAGAGAGCATTTGAAATCGCACATGACCACCATCAACTGGATCTACACACCTGGTTACGCAGGCATAAAGGGAAATGAGCGAGCAGGGCCAACTGGTAGGCAATGCACCAAGGCATGTGGAAAGAAGCTTGGATAGAGCGGATATCATCAACACTGTACGGACTGGGCTAGTGGATAATGAGGAATCTCTGACACTAACACAATTGCGCGACAAAAGAGTAAAGCATGATGAAGCACGTCTATACGGTCTTCGGGGCCAAGATAGGAGACAACAGAACCAGTTTCTCATGAGAACAATTAGTAGTGGTACTTTGGAGTGGCTGCTGCATTAGAGGACTGAGCCCGTATAGAAATGCACAATGTGCAAGTGATGCAAATTGTGATCACATAACATGTGGGTTTATTCTATTCTTTGTTCACAGGAAAATATCTTTCACAAAGCCCACTCATGCAGACAACGCACTGTTCTAAACAACCAACACAATCAGGCACCGAAATCAAAATATTCAAATGTAATCTGTAACCATATAAAATGCTTTCTATTATGACATCAACATGTCTTTACATGAAAATACAGTAGCAATGCACAAAACATGTATTTCATATCCAATTACCAGCATATACAATTAAACATAATGGACAGACTATCTTTTGCGCTGACAGTCAATCAGAGATTAGGAGAGATGAATGAAACACTGGGTGACTAAAGTAGACGATTAAACATGTGGATAAAACAAAATACTGGATATAAAAACATTTTAGCTTTAGGTAATAGTGGATAGAATGGTGAGCTCCCATTCTGAATACCCAGGCTGCAATATTCAGTAAAAGTGAGATATTCATCTTAAGGACAACAATCAAAATCCCAACATTCACAACTTAGTGTGACTGTCCTCCTAGACAAAAAGCACAAACATCTTAAACAAAGCACATTCATTCTAACCCTACGCTACCAGTGCCAAACATGGTCATTCACAAAACCCCAAATTAGTTACCATGGAAATGAGATGTATGAGAAGGGCTGCAGAAGTGACAAGAATGAGATCATAAAAATCAATTGTAAATTACAAACACGACAAAACAAGTTATTTGCCCACTTTAGAGAGACTACCTTGTGATGTCATACCATACAAGACACACACCAAAAGAGAAGAATGAAGACCACGAGGTTGACCAAGAAAAACACGGAAAGATAACATCAGAGAAACTCTGCAACAGCACAATGTGTCTATGATCAAGGCAGCCAGAAGCATAATCTTATATTTACCTCCACGCCTAAAGAGGTAAAAGGATTGTCATGCAACCGTAAATCATCAGAGGCAAAACACATCTGCCCCGCAGAAAGTAAAATAGACCAAAATAAAACACAAAGATAATTTTTTTAAAAACACATTTTTAAATATGTGGAGGTTAAAAGGTCAGCTACAGTAGATGGCAAAGGAAATGAGGACCAGAAAAAAACACAGCTGCACCCAACCAGAATAAAACATCCACTATCTCTGCAAAACATTTTTTATACCATTTTGTTGCACAGAGACAAACCGTGAAGACTTAAGGTATACTTAAAACAGAAACAAAGTCAAATGTGAACAAAATATCTATTACATTATTTATTCAAGCATATATTCAAATTTGTCACTAAAAAAAAACAATTCACAGGGCAGACTTATGTTGACAGATGCCGCACAATATTTATGAAAGTGATTTACTTGTACACAACACTTAACCTCAGGTAACTTACACCACAAACCTCACATCAACTTCTAGCAGTCTATATATCAATGGACATGTCTGTGATAAACTGGTTCCAAAATTCTTCTATGGTATCGTAGAGCTCCCAATCTATTAAACAGTCAACTAAATTACCAACGCACAGCTGTGATATCTTCAGCAACCTATCACAAACTATCACGTTTTTATTTAAAATATTCATCAAGCGACTAAAAGGAAAACAAACTCATGATATTTTCATGTTCCACAGTTGGGTTGCTGGTCGAACTTTACGCAACTGAATCGCGGCATCAATCCCCCTTCTTGTCATCGTCGTCATTATCATTGTGTGTGTGCCAGGTAAGCCGCTCCTCGTAGAAAGCTATGACAATTTGGGGACACTTTACGTTTGCTTGTCTTGCAGGCACTAAGTCGGCCTCGTCACTGTCTTTCCTGGAATATGTAAACAGGGTTTTATGAGACTTTATGTTTAGAGTCACAAATTATATTCATTAAAAATATATATTCTGTAATGAAAGTACTGAAATAAAAAGACTTAAAGGAATATTCTTTAAAATTAAAAAAATAAAAGAACAGCACAAGAAATAAAGAATGCAAACAAGTGAATAAAAAACACTACAAGGAAACGGCACCCAAAAAACGCCACAAGTAGCGCATCAAACTACCGCCCTGGCAATAGTGCTAGCAAACTGAATCTACCAGTAGACAGACAAAACCGGTCACCTCAGGTGGAACCTGTCTAGAGTAGGAAACCTGCACATCAAGTTAGACACTGACAATGGAAGTGCGCAGGCTGGTCTTCAGTCCTCTATGAATGCTCTTAGTGCCACTGTTTCCCCATCTGAGTCGTCTGTTCTGTGTGAATTACATTTCTTCAAAACAATTCTGTGGGGCAGTTGGTACAAGAGCACCAGTACCACATGACCAAACCGTTCCCTTTTAATGATATTTATTATTGATTGTGGCTCTAGCACACTTTCTGCTCTAGCAGCTAGCTTTCCTCATAAGATCATCACTATTTAGTTAAGTTTGCCTGGGCGACAAAATGCTGAAACGTGGGTGAGGGGGTTGTCAAGGGCCATAGGCACCAAGCTCACACATACATCACCTAATACAATACAGTCATCAAGCAACCACAAATTACTAACATCGGCCCAACAGAAAGTAAAATACACCAAAATTAAATACAAAATTATTATTTTTAAAACTATTTTTAAAGATGTGGAGGTCACAAGGTCAGCTATAAGAGATGGCAAAGGGAACAAGGACCAGAAAAATAAAGAGCGGGATACTTCTAGGTCTCTGGGGTCGGATTAGGTCTAAGAGTTGAATAGCCTTCACCTTTATAATGGATACCCACTTAGTGTACTGGTCTATGTTTTCACCTGGTCAGCACAGAAACTGTTGGCCTGGTAGGTACTGGTATCATGTCTCAAATGTACATGAAATTAAATGTTACATCCACCTTGTTATACAAGCTAAACCACACACACACACACAAATTTAGAGAGCCAGGGAAGGAGATGGAAAAGCAAGTATTAGCTTATCACAGAAGGCGAGGATGAGAAATGACATACGGAGGGAGGGGGAGCAGGCGGAAAGAGAAGTAAACTGTTTTCTAATTTATCGCATTCATTGGCTGTAAACTAGAGTGAAGTTCTAGCTGTTTGCCCACTTCTGGACTTTAGTCTTGTACCAGAACTGAGTTCTTTCCTAAATCAGGACCCCGGAACCACATGCGAAGAGTGAGTTTATTATCCAGCGAGGCAGAGAAGGAGAGACAAGAGTAAGCGTACCACTTCATGAGAAACATCAACTCCCCGCTGCTGTCGGTTGCTCCAATAATCCTCTCTGGCGCCAAACCTCTGTCAAATCCACGTGGCTTGTTGTCAGACTCCTTCAAAAAATTTATTTCAAATGTAAAACATACTGACCATAGAGAAAAAGTTTATAGGCTGCGAAAAAAATGGATCAACAACATTAAAGACACTACGCATTTACGGCATGACAATAGCAGCGGCAGCCAGCGAGCACTGGATTGCCAAGTACACCTAGAGATTTAAGAATCTGATGTTAGAGCACTTTCTGATTAGTAAAGCTGCATACAATTGAGTTTGTTGTTTTAAAATGCACAAGCAAGTTACCTAAACAACTGAGAAAAAAAAAATGTAAGACAACATAAACTAAATCAACAGAAGCATGTCGCAAAAATCATCTATATTTTTTTTCACATTCACCAGCTGGAAACTCTTCACCTGGGTCTGGTTTCCTTTTCTCAGCGTCGGCCAAGATGTAAACTCTTATCACCTGGGTCTGGTTTCCTTTTCTCAGCGTCGGCCAAGATGCAAACTCTATCACCTGGGTCTGGTTTCCTTTTCTCAGCGTCGGCCAAGATGTAAACTCTATCACCTGGGTCTGGTTTCCTTTTCTCAGCGTCGGCCAAGATGTAAACTCTATCACCTGGGTCTGGTTTCCTTTTCTCAGCGTCGGCCAAGATGTAAACTCTATCACCTGGGTCTGGTTTCCTTTTCTCAGCGTCGGCCAAGATGTAAACTCTATCACCTGGGTCTGGTTTCCTTTTCTCAGCGTCGGCCAAGATGTAAACTCTATCACCTGGGTCTGGTTTCCTTTTCTCAGCGTCGGCCAAGATGTAAACTCTATCACCTGGGTCTGGTTTCCTTTTCTCAGCGTCGGCCAAGATGTAAACTCTATCACCTGGGTCTGGTTTCCTTTTCTCAGCGTCGGCCAAGATGTAAACTTTATCACCTGGGTCTGGTTTCCTTTTCTCAGCGTCGGCCAAGATGTAAACTCTATCACCTGGGTCTGGTTTCCTTTTCTCAGCGTCGGCCAAGATGTAAACTCTATCACCTGGGTCTGGTTTCCTTTTCTCAGCGTCGGCCAAGATGTAAACTTTATCACCTGGGTCTGGTTTCCTTTTCTCAGCGTCGGCCAAGATGTAAACTCTTCACCTGGGTCTGGTTTCCTTTTCTCAGCGTCGGCCAAGATGTAAACTCTGACGGGAAATTATGGTTCCAGAGCTTTGCCTTTTCCGTGAATTTTTTTTTTTTTACAGATCCAGCTCCAGGACATCTTATTTCCTATTCTTAGCTTTCACAAACTGTAAACTCCTGTGAGACGTTCCTATTATTTCCACTTCTGAACATTGGTCTGGTTTTCCATGCATAAAAAAAAAAAATCTAGCTTAGGACAAAAAAAAGAGGGTTGCGACTGGCAGACAGAGAACACCAAGCCATTCAGCTGGCAACATAAGATGACAACGAAGTGGCGCCTGGATCACCAACATGAGTGCTGTAATAATGATCTTTCCATGGATGTGATTTTAAACATTTTAGCCCCAGAATAATTTTAGCTGTTAATATGCAACAGCCTTTTTTTTTTTTTTTTACCTCCCAGGACACGTCCTGACAAGGTCAACTTGGTGCCAAGGGGGGAAAAAATGTGCTGTAGCAGAGATTCAAACACCAAGATTTTGCCACTGCGCCATCACAGCTGATATTTTACATTATACTGGGGTGAGAGATCCTGGTTTTCTTCCTCAGTTGCATTTTCCAGAAACGAATCCGCCACCATAGCAGGCATTACGATAAAATGGCCCTCCACCCCCGACCGTTGTAACTAAGTAAGGTACACTACAGATTGTCCTACTTCTTTTTTCTTCCTTTTCACGTCATCTTTTGCTCCGTTTGAAGGTGTAGTTGGTTTTCTTTTTAAACTCTTTTCACTTTTTTCTGATTCTTTTTTCTTTTTCTTGTCCTCGTAAGCTGAAATTAGGTCTGGACAGTCCAGGTTTTCCTCTGGTTCCCACGTGTTTTCGGAGCTGAAAAATAATTAAATAACGATATTAGAAAGGACCATAAAAATTCTTTTTTAATCTACATTTCATAATAGTTTTTTTTTTAAATTTCTTCTTCTTCACATTAACCCGCTGTAAACTCCAGCCAAAAGTTCTGGACTTCTTTTGTTCCAGAACCTGAGTGTTGTACATCTTTTTTATTACAGATCTGACTTATTTGTATGCAGATTGTGGATTCCTTGCCTCTCAGGCAGATGCACTTATACTTAAAACAAAGCTCCCCCCCCAGTCAGTCGAATCTTATGACATGCTAGCTGGAAAGGCAGTGATCTATTCTTGCTTTCCCTACAATGGCGATCCAGAACCCTAAAAAGATACATGTACAAAGGGGTTGGTCAATGAACATGAACAGAGCAGTTATACATAACCCAGAGTGTAAAAAATGTATAGTCTGGCTCATGCCACAACCTTCATCACTGAGGCTTACACGACAATTTGTCTTTCATAAAGCTATCACAGGGAAACAGTATTTAATGCTATTTTCAGTAACTACATTCAGATCCTGGCACACAGGGGGCCAATCGCTTGTAAATGTGTTATTCAACAACAGGTCACTGCAGTCATTGCCATACATGGGCATTGACGTGACACAGGTGAACTGACCAGTTCAGACTCTGGACGAAAGGGTTAAAAGCTGGTTGGCACACCGTGTTGTGGTTTACAGCTATGCTGTGATACATAAATTTACGTAAAATATCAGGTAGGCTTGGTTCACTATGCTCATAAAGAACGAAGTAACACAAGACATTAAGGCTATAAAGGAAAGGGAAATACACAAAATACAAGTCAATATAAATTTTTTTTAAACATGTTACTACTGTCTGTCTTACCACATTTAGGGCAGTGTAGACAGGGGGGTCGTGAGCCATATGATCAAGAGCTGCAGCATGGCTGGTGCTATGCCACAGACTGTGCAGGTGAGGGTGTTTTTTTTATTTTGCCCCCTGCCAGAAAAACTCTTACCAGTGGTCGAACAGGGTCTCCCGCATCAGAGCCTGAAGTAGCAACCACTCAGCCAGCCACTAAACTAAATGTTTCTCAGACAAAAGTCTTAATATTCTACGCTATCTCTTTAGGAACACTCTATGGCCAGGCGTCCACCTTCCCATGGTGCTGCTCTCTTACCACAGGTCGATATCAGGCAATCCGACACAGAAAAAAAATCATGGTGTAGCTCAATCCTGCTAACGGATTAACAAAACAACCACTCAAGCCACAAGGATAGCTCAGGAAGAATGCAGAAAACTTCAGCATTTTGCTATAACCTGTTTTGAGGTTTTTAACAACGAATAACATCATGGCACACAGGCCGTAACCCATAAGTGCTTTGTTCTTCTTCTAACTCAAATTTGAGTCCGAAGAAGCTCAGCACAGTGCACAGGCCGTGTAGCACCGGCGAGGATCCTGAAATATTTTGGGTTGATTTTTAACTCCAAATTTTTGTCCGGCCAGTGTCGTAAAGTTGCTCTTTTCGAATTCAAACTGTCAGGGATTTTTTGTGAGCAACAATGCACTTGAGCGTCCGATCTTACTACCCAGAGACCAGGGGGAATTACTAGAAGTCCAAGTGCCCATGAAAAAATTACAACCCTTACCGGGAATTGAACCTGGAACCTCTAGCCCTCGAGACCACTCAGCTCCCCTGGTAAAAGTGTGACAACAAAAGGTCGGCACATGTCGCAGAATTACATTTACAAATGCACATGACAACATACTTACTCGGGATATCCTTTCCATTTGAGTAAATATTCTTTTTTGCCACCTCGCATTCTTGAGTCGACGACTTTCTCAACGGTAAACTCTTCCTCCTCCTCCTCTGGTGTCTCCGCAACAGGATCATCCTTCGACTTTTCTGCAGACAAGTTAGTCATACATAAAACTCATGAGCAAATGCACGGCAGAATACTCTAATCTTAAGATAAAAACCATTCACCATAAACCAATTCTGACACCAGGCATCATGGGGAGGAATAATTTGTGATCCAGTGCTTGTTGGCTGGCACTGGCTGTTAAAGGCGCAAAGTGTCTTTAATGTTATTGATCCTGGTTGCGGGAAAATCCTTCTGTTCTCTTCAGAGAGTTACACCTGTGATAGTATTTGATCTTGCTGTGTTCTAACAGATGACCAAGCTATTTGATCTGCGGTTTCTCTGTGAAGTTAGTTTCATTCATTAAATCTGCCCGACAGTATCTTCTTCTTCTTCTTCGCGTTCATCAGCTATAAACTCCGGCAGAAAGTTCTGGCTGTTTGTCTACTTCTGGGTTGTAGTCCTGTTCCATTGTTGCATGTGCATCCTTTTTACAAATCTGACTTATTTGTAGCAGACTTGGTTCCTTGCCTCACAGGTAGATGCACTCAGACTTCGAAGGAAGCTCCCAATAAGTCGACTCTTACGATATGCTTTCGGGGAGGCAGTGGGTCTATTCTTGTTTCCCTATAATACGGCCCCAGAACCTACACGAGGTGTCCAACATTCTTTCGTGTGATGGCTTTTCTCAGGCATTTCATCTTTCAAGTAGTGATTCTGCACAGAGGAGCCTCAGATGTACACACTGGCTTACAACCTGGTATCAGTGATATGACAAAAGAAGACGAGCCTTTGATAATGTTTATCTTTGCCACATGTAGCCCACACATGTAGCTGGATGGTTGTCATTGACTGATTTAGCACTTTCGTCCTGCGAATACTAAAAAGTGGTAATGAATCCGTAGGAATTTAAATCCAAAACATCTTTAAAAAATTGTTTACACAGGAAACTATCAATCAGTTTTTAAATGTATGCAGTTCTACCATTTTGGTTTTCAGATATGTAAAGATAGTATAGTAAACAATGAACAAAAGACAGAGTGAAGAATTAAATGAAGTGCATAATCGGGTCCTAATACAAATATGCATCAGGTGATACACGCCACGGCCTCTATTGATGGGGTTTATGGGAAACATTTTAGCCAGACTGGCTCAAAACAATTTATTGGTTTCGCTAGTGTGTTGTTCATCCATCATGTGCGATGAAGATCACTTTCATCTCAAGCAGTAATGATCAATGATTTTATGAGTACGAAAGTGGGTGTTTTAGTTCAATATGAGCCAGGAAAGCTCTTGAGCAGTGAGGATAACAGATGGAAGCCACAGTAAGTGTAGAATTAGCAGTACGGTTATTTCAGGTCTGTCTCCGTTTTACTGCCTGTGCAACGACCGCTGCCTGACAGGCCGATGCACCATGCTCGAGGGACGCATGCCACCCAGAATGGTCTTGTGCAGCAGCCTCTCACATCACTGTGTTGGTGCCAAAAAATTTAGATCAGGCTTCAGAGTGTCCTTATAGCACTTTTTCTGTCCTCCATGGGACCTCTTTCCTTGCCGAAGGTCGCCATAAAATACTCTTTTGTAGGCGATAGTCTGGCATGTGGGTTTGGTGACCAGCTGACAATTCTTCAGCATCGTGTGGATGCTAGGCAGGTTTGCCTTATCAAGAACCACAGTATTTGGGATCTTATCTTGCCATCTAAGAAGCTTTCCGAGACAGGTTATATGAAACTAATTCAACCTTTTAGCATAAAGCTAATGCACAGTCCACGTTTCGCAAGCGTAGTGCAGTACAGAAGAATTACAGCTTTGTAAACCTTTAGCTTGGTCAGCAGGGAGATAACACTTCTGTTTCAGACACTGGTATACAGTCTGCCAAAACTGATGCTGGATTTTGAGATTCTAACATTGATATCATCAATGTTGACTCTCTGAGATAGTGCACTGCCAAGATAAGTGAATCTGTCGACTACATAAAGCTACTGATCATTTACTAGTATATGGTCAGTATTATAAAAAACAACTTACCAGACATTGTGCGATGTGAGGGAGCTTCTGAAACATAAAAAATATATAATTCAGACAAAAACAATGCTATCCCGTTGAACATTTACATGAGGACAGCATAATGAACCAAATTGATTGTCTACCACATTCTGCTGTATTTATTCAGGCACATAAGAATAAACCCCAAGACAGCTAAGCTCAAAAGCCATTTGTTTTGTCAGATCCCAGTTGTCTTTAGGTTTAAGGAAAAAAAATGCACATCATTACCAAACTTTATAAATTTATTACAAAAAAGAAAGACTAATTTCTTAAAAGACTAGAACATCAAGGAAGATTGGCTAAACAGCAACTTGTCTCAGAAACCAACTTATTTTAAAGTTTGGCTTCGGAGATAAACTGGTCTGATTACTGAGAGGCCAGTTAAGACAGCTTGTTTGTTTTCATTTGACTTTATATACTATAGTTGGTGACATAGGTAGTTAGAGCCTCCATCTTCTTCACGTTTACTGGCTGTATTTTAACAAAAATCTTGATATCTCGGCTTAGAATTGACATACAGGCATAAATGAGCTACTGTTGGAAACAGATTTTAATATGTATATCAATCAAGCTGTGATGTGATGGTTCTATTAGTTTGAAATAATTCTGAAATACAGTGGTGCTTTCACTGCATTAGTAATAACAGATATAATAAAACAGCAAAAGATAGGATAGGACGCTGGTTCAGTAGGTACTTCAGTCAAATTTTTAAAATGCCCTCTACACCAATAAAACCAGCACAGTTAGATAGCTGTAAACAATCTCTTTCCAATGGTACCTCATTTAGGCTTGTATGTCATTTCTGAGCTGAGATATGTAGGTTTTTGTGGAGATGAGATGTAAGAAACAGCCGCTAAAACTTGTGACCCAGAAACAAAAAGTTTTTCACTGCGCAACCTACTGCGCAGTTCTGTATCGGCTTTGTTGACATTGGACTGTCATTGGACAAGATGGCAGGCAGTGAGACTCAGCTCACTCAGCCGCATGCGATTGCCTAAAAAATGTCACTGTAAATCTAAACAGCCAGAGTCGGTAAAAAAAATTTAATATGCAAATGTAAAATTGGACGGAGAATTCAACTGTAACTAGCATTACCACAACTGGTAATGTTTAAGGCCTAAAGCCAACCTCGAATTTACCGCTATTTTCAATTAAACTGATGACTAACAGAAAAACAGAGGAGTCCGGCTGTCGTAGACATGCGCTGTTAATCGGGTTCCCCCACACTGTTTTCAGCTATTTATAGCTGGTCCAAATTCCCACCAATGGCAAAATTTCATGAGAGATTTGGACCCATACGGAAACCAGCCGAGATTTCCCGAACAAGTTCTGAACGGTTTCCGGGTAACGGAACTTGCCGAAAAGACCGCAAATTGTCGAAACTGTAGTCCCTAGGTTCAGCTCAGGGCATTATAAAATCATAAATGAAAACACAGTACACGACGATCATTCACTCAGATATTTGGAAAAAAAAAGGTTAGTTGCGTATCCTTTTCAGGACATTGCAGAACCAACCCCAGCAGCCTCTGGCTGCTAAGTGGTTTCTCTAGGCAAATTTACGCCCAGTAGTTTGCCATTGCTCAGTGATTGCTAAATTGGACCGTCAGCTCCCTGATACCACTGTCGAAACCAACGCAAGGTGCATAGCCCGCAGCTGGAATCGAACCCGGCATTAGGAAACGTTAGCATCGACTTAGCCACAGAGCTGACGGATAAATAATCAAAAGTTAAACTCTAAAAGACTGGAAAAGTCAGAATGTCTCAATGTCTCTACATAAATTGTCACATTATTATTCATTATATTCCTTTATTTCTAGTCTAAGTAGCACATTTAAAGATCATTTATGAGACAAGTCATGAGTTTACGAATTCCTGCACTCCACTAAAGAAAGTTAGAAACGGTCGAACTAAACTGAAGCTTCTTTTTTGAATACTAACAGTAAATGCAGTAAACATGGTTCCTCAGTTCCATGCCTCAGCCTGCACCCACACGACGATTTTCTGACTACTACACTACAGCACATACTGGTGCATAAGTAGAACATCAATCCCAGGTGATTTCTTGGTCAGATAAGGATCTCTCAAAGTAAAATGTCCATACAACTACTACTAGGTTCGTCATTAGAGCTGTAGAAATTAATAAACTGTCCTGTATTGACGAGCCCGCCATTTTGACAATGGTCAGCCACTGATGCTGGCGCGACTATCTCTCACGACGACTAACATACGAAAACACGACATTTTTATAAGTCTTAACTTTAAAAACAACTAACTATTATATTATTTAAATGCAAGGAAATTTACTGACACTGGATAAAACCTATAAACAAGTTTAAATGTGAATGTTCCAAAATAAATGTGCAAAAAAACTTACAGGACAACGCCGATGGATCAAAAAAGCGCTGGTTTCTTTCTGTTGTAATGCGCATGCGCCGTTCATATATCCGGGATATTATAAACGCGGGAAGTTGGATTGGTTCTTTTTCTCTTCTTTTCGTTTTTTTCGTCGTCGTCTTCGGTATGGGTTCTCAGGAGCCCCATTTTAGGGGTTCCAGGAGTGAGGGGGGAGGGGTAGGCTACCGGTCGTCTCTAACAAGCATATCGTAAAAGGCGACCAATCAGGGGTTTTCTGGAAATCGATGGGGCACTATGGAATCCCACAGAAAATTATCAACTTAGTAAAGGCAACATCTAAAGACATAAAATGTCGAGTTCTTTATGAGGGAAAGCCAACAGATGCATTTGAAATAAAAACAGGTGTGCGACAGGGATGTTTTTTGTCGCCTCTCTTATTTTTACTGGCTATAGACTGGACTATGAAAACAGTAGCTGCTAACACCAAGAATGGAATTCAGTGGACCCCTACAAAACAGCTTGATGATCTGGACTTCGCTGATGATATTGCTCTTCTGTCCCATTCACTGAATCAGATGCAAGATAAATTAAATATACTTAATGCGAGATCACAGCAGCTTGGTCTGAAAATCCATAAAGGAAAGACAAAGATAATGAGAATAAATCAGGCAAATAGTAATGTGGTTCCTCTTAATGGCACCCCACTCCAAGACGTTGAGTCGTACACCTATTTAGGCAGTAATGTAGATAAAGATGGAGGAACTGATGAAGATATTAAAATAAAAATACAAAAGGCAAGAGGGGCTTTCATAGCACTAGGAAATTTGTGGAGGTCAAAAGAAATTAAAAGAAATACTAAACTAAAATTTTTTAATTCTAATGTCAAATCAGTACTATTGTATGGGGCGGAAACATGGAGAACAACGAAGGCAATTACTAATAAATTACAGACATTCATTAACTGGTGCCTGCGCAGAATAGAGGGAATAAAATGGTATGATAGAATAACTAATGTAGAACTTTGGGAGAGAACTAAACAGGCTCCAGTGGATTAGGAAGTGAGGAAAAGACGCTGGCGTTGGATAGGGCACACACTGAGAAAACAGGAGAACAGCATTACTAGAATGTCTTTGCATTGGAACCCACAGGGGCATAGGTATAAAGGAAGGCCAAAAAACACATGGAGAAGAGAGCTGGAGAACGATGTTAGAAAGATTGGGAGGACATAGGAAGAGCTCCATGCAATGGCGAAGGATAGAACGACTTGGCGTGAGTTGGTTGAGGGCCTATGCTCCATTGGGGGATAGAAAGGCAGAAGAAGAAGAAGAAGAATCAGGGGTTTGCTGAAATAGGATGTGTTAAGCCGAAAGCCCCAGATATCACAGTCTTGCTGTAAACCGCAACTACAGTGCCAGATGTAGGTATAAAATACAGCTTATGATATCATAATCTCCAGAGACCTCAAAAAAATTTCTTTTTGAAATTTAATTTGCATAATAAAGTGGAAAAACATATTCAGTTGTAACGGCGCCAGCATGTATTTTATTATTCCATACATCCATGTATGTAGACCTATGAATGAAATAAAAATAAAGTTGTTGATGCAGCAGCACCCAGGCTTTCAACCTTCAACCTAGCACCATGTAGCAATGCAGGCAAGAAGGCACTGAAGTCCATTGGATGTTATCAATGCGCCTAGATACGGGTAATGAGCATACTTTGGATCTTTTCTCCAGGCCATGCCGGCGTTTTGGGAAATGAACAGGCAGACAGATTGGCTGGATCTGCACCACTGGGTGGTGAATTTATACATGACAATGCAGATGTGGTCAAGGCCCTTTAAAAACAAGCAACGAAATCGGTAGAGAAAGAAGAGTAATATGGCTTGGAGAGGATGAGGCACCTGGGTCTGGCCGACTGACTACATTCAGGAGAAAGGCTAGACGGACATTTAACCAGATTGTGACCGGTACCATCAGTATTGAAATTCTGCGCTGGCTGCTGAAGACGAGGACGGAGCATGCATGAAAATGCCCCAAGTGCTGTGATGTCATTTCTTAACTCAACTCAGATTTCTGTACTTGTTCCAGAATAACGTCTTTGACTTTTTAAAATACATTTAGGCATTTTTCCTTTCTTGGAAAACTTCATTATTTATGTCTTTTATTTTTAAAACTAAGGGCCATTTTATCACTTTCTGCCACCACCGTATCTATCATTTCCTGTAGTAGTTCTTTCTGCCTTGTCGCTATCAAGACGGTGTCATTGGATTACGCAGGTTGTTTATGTTATGACCACCAACCACAACTCCTGGCATATCCATGATAGATTTCATTACATCTTCACCGTATAATGAAAACATATCAAGTGATAGTACACATCCTTGTCTTACTCCCCTATTTATGCTCTGAATTATTCCCATATTGTTCCCGCTGTATTTTCCCTAGTAAATCATGCTTGTACAACAATCGAATTCAGATAACGACGTCAATGTGGATTTAAATGGAATCACGTCGTCTGGCAGGGAGCAGCATGTTCTACAAGTGATACCCGACAGTCATCCAGCTACTGTAGAGAAAATAAAAATCAGTAATATTATAAAAAAAATTAGTACATGGAATGTCAGAACACTTCTACAAAATGGAAAGCTGAACAACATCAAGAGGGAAAGGGGAAGAATGAATATAAAAATATTAGGAATTGGTGAAATGCGCTGGCCAGGCGTAGGGGAAAAGTATCGACTCACTCACTCACTTACTCGCCCACCGACTTTCTCACTCACTCACTCACTCACTCACTCACTCACTCACTCACTCACTCACTCACTCACTCACTCACTCACTCACTCACTCACTCACTCACTCACTCACTCACTCACTCACTCACTCACTCACTCACTCACTCACTCACTCACTCACTCACTCACTCACTCACTCACTCACTCACTCACTCACTCACTCACTCACTCACTCACTCTCACTCTCACTTAATCACTCATTCTCCCTCCCTCCCTCACTCACTCACTCACTCCCTCCCTCCCCCCCTCACTCACTCACTCACTCACTCACTCACTCACTCACTCACTCACTCACTCACTCACTCACTCACTCACTCACTCACTCACTCACTCACTCACTCACTCACTCACTCACTCACTCACTCACTCACTCACTCACTCACTCACTCACTCACTCACTCACTCACTCACTCACGCACTCACTCACTCACTCACTCACTCATGCACGCACCACTCACTCACTCACTCACTCACTCACTCACTCACTCACTCACTCACTCACTCACTCACTCACTCACTCACTCACTCACTCACTCACTCACTCACTCACTCACTCACTCACTCACTCACTCACTCACTCACTCACTCACTCAATCTCACTCTCACTTAATCACTCATTCTCCCTCCCTCACTCACTCACTCACTCACTCACTCACTCCCTCACTCACTCACTCACTCACTCACTCACTCACTCACTCACTCACTCACTCACTCACTCACTCACTCACTCACTCACTCACTCACTCACTCACTCACTCACTCACTCACTCACTCACTCACTCACTCACTCACGCACGCACGCACGCACGCACGCACGCACGCACGCACTCACTCACTCACTCACTCACTCACTCACTCACTCACTCACTCACTCACTCACTCACTCACTCACTCACTCACTCACTCACTCACTCACTCACTCACTCACTCACTCACTCACTCACTCACTCACTCACTCACTCACTCACTCACTCACTCACTCACTCACTCATGCACGCACCACTCACTCACTCACTCACTCACTCACTCACTCACTCACTCACTCACTCACTCACTCACTCACTCACTCATTCACTCACGCACTCACTTACTCACTCACTCGCACACACACACTCACACACACACACACACACACACACACACACACACACATATATATATATATATATATATATATATATATATATATATATATATATATATATATATATATATATATATATATATACTGTATTTAAAGGGCTTATTATATTTTAGAGTGTGCTGAGATCAGCTGGTGCTATTAAAAATGGTAGGGACTCCAGGACTGTGTATAGCTTAGGGTCGCTTTTTCTTCCTCTTCTTCTCTTCGCCTGGATTGCCTTTTAGCGTCAGCTTTTAAATAGGCATCTGGTGAGAGCCCCGACTGGCTATATGCTACGTCAATGCGAGTATTTAAGGCCTCGGCTATTCCATCTTTCCTGTTGTTGACTATAAATCCCGTTATCTCCTTGTGAGATGAAATTGTTCTCCATTTTGAAGCCCCACCCTGGCTCTTGCCAGGGGCCGCAATATAGCCCGACCATAAATATGCTCTAATGGCTGAACGCTGTTTCTGGGACCTCTCCACGATGATCCTCATCCACATGGTGGCACTCTGTGTCATCGGGTGTTTATCGCTTGTGTGATGTCCTGGTGGGGTAAAAATCTACCCTACTAATCTATCCTGTCTCCTTTGATCACATCAACACTGCAGAAGTTCTTTTCGGGGCTACTTGGTGGCGAGCAATGCTACGCCCACAGAACGAAGCAAGCAGCAGCAGCTTGTCGATCAGCAGGCTGTTTGCTGGGTTTACGTAAGCTTTTGCAGAAATTGAGCGGAGTTAAGTTCATTCAAGAACAGGCATCCCAGCACTCGAAGCTTTCCCATACCCGATATATCCCCATCTTCAGCAGCCAACACAGCGTTCCAATACCAGTGGTACTATTAACAACCTGGTTATATGTTCGTATCGCCTTTACTCTCAGCGCCGAGTATT